AAAATAAGTAGGAGTAAGAATTAATATATGCAATACATTTTTAGTAATAGAAGAACTAGACATAGAGAAAAAGTTACGATTAAAAATCAAGAAATACAAACGAGTAAACTACTTAGATATCTAGGATTAATCATTAAAATGATGGAGAAATTAGAGATGACGTAACTCATAGAATTAACACTGTTTGGCTTAAGTGAAGGAAAACATCTGGCATATCATGTGATAGAAGGATACTAATAAAATTAAAAGGTAAGTTTTACCGAACAGCTATAAGGACAACAATGTTGTATGAGATGGAATGTTAGGCAACAAGGAAACAACATAGTGACAAAAATAAGTGTAGCAAAAATGAGAATGCTAAGGTGAATTGTGGAAAAACTTGAAAGGATAGAATATGAAATTACTGTATTAAAGAAATAATAGGAGTAGTTCTAATTGAGGATAAATTAACAGAGAATAGATTAAGATGGTTTGACCATTTCCATGGAGGTCGATAGAGGCACCGATTCAAAAAAGTGATAGAATTTCTCTTAATGATATTAGAAGTAGGGTAGACCAAAATTAACATTGAATGAAATAATAAGAAAAAAAATAAAAATATTTAATTTAAATGAGCGTATAGCGCATGATCAAAATGAATGGCGAATACGAACTTATATAGCTGGGCCCAAATAATTAGGACATTAAGGTTTAATTTGGTTTGATTTGATTTGATTTTATTCAATTTGATTTTGTTCGATGTTTATGTACAATGGTGGGAAACAAAAAAGTTTTAGGAAAAGGTTAGGGGTAGTCGTTTAGGATGTGGCCTCATGTTTAATTGAAGTTGTCAAAATTCTGCAAATAGATCAGTGGAGTTAATTTTTGTTAGAAGCAAGACTTGCAATATAATATCCCTGGCCTCTTTCTAGATTTTATTGTGCCATCTTTGGAATTTCTCCTGGTCACTTTGCAAGTGTATATTTTGTTATAGATATATCATTCAAAACTTATAATTATTAAATTTTGAATAAAATTATGATCTATCAATCTATATTAAAAAAAAAATCATTTCCATTGTATGTCTTTTGAAATTGTTGGATTCAAAAGGGATTCAATTCTAATGGTTCTCGAAAATTCAGAGGTTTGCGATTTAATCTTTTCACGTAATCACAAGTCTCATTGATCTTTTTAGGGATACGCTCTAATCTAGTTTAAGTTACGATATCTAACCGCTGAGTTTGAGGGAGTAGTCAACGTAAGTACGAATATCATGTAAAAAAAAAAAAGGGAAAATTTCATTTACACTCCATGTCTTTCTAAACAACCATGTTATTGTGATATAATTTATAGACATAATTTGGTGAAATAATGAATTGTTAACAGTGATATGATAATGAATTCATTTAATACTACAATGAGACTCATTATTAAATACAATTAACTATCATTTTATTGGTAATAACTCATTATATTCCTAAATTATGTTCCAATTGCANGGATTCAATTCTAATGGTTCTCGAAAATTCAGAGGTTTGCGATTTAATCTTTTCACATAATCACGAGGTTTGCGATTTAATCTTTTCACATAATCACAAGTTACATTGATCTTTTTAGGGATATGCTCTAATTTAATTTAAGTTACGGTATCTAACCGCCGAGTTCGAGGGAGTACAACGTAAGTACGAATATCATGTATAAAAAAAAAGGGAAAATTTCATTTACACTCCATGTATTTCTAAACAACCATGTTATTGTGATATAATTTATAGACATAATTTAGTGATATAATGAATTGTTGACAGTGATACGATAATGAATTCATTTAATGCTACAATGAGACTCATTATTAAATACAATTGACTATCATTTTATTGGTAATAAATCATTATATCCCTAAATTATGTTCCAATTGTATTTGTGATTTCTAAAATGACAACTTATTTTTCATTCAATTTGATAGTTCGTATAAGTCACACGCATATTCAGCGGTTTGGCATACAAAAAAACATGTTTAAAAGACAAAAAACCCTGCAATCTCTCTCTCTCTCTCAAAACCNAGGAGACGTTATAGAACCTAGAGGATGAGACTAACATTATGTGGAATAGGATGACGAAAGAAATTAGAAAAATTTCGAAAGAGGTTTTTGAGGAGTCAAAGGGTAGAGGATTTTGTGGAAAAAAAAACTTGGTGGTGGAATAACGACGTACAAGATGTAGTTAAAGTAAAAAAAGAATCTTTTAAGAAATGGTAAAATGATAAAAATAGCGAGAACTGTCATGGATATAAATTAGCTAACAAGGAGGCAAAAAAGGTAGTTAGTAACACTAAGTTAAAAACCTACGACGATTTGTACAAAAAATTAAATAGTAAAGAGGGAGAAAAATACATTTATAAACTAGCTAACATTAGAGAAAGAAAAACAAGAGATTTTAACCTAGTTAAGTGCATCAAGGATGGTGACTCAAATGTTTTAGTTAAAAATGAGGAAATAAATCATCAATGTGACTATTTTGAGAAATTATTAAATGAAAATCACTTAGGAAACTTAGAAGAAATAGAAAATGATAGGATTCATGAAACGTTCTTTCTTAGAATAAATAATTTGGAGGTAAAGTTTGCATTGAAAAAAATGAAATTAGGTAAGGCTTTAGGATCAATTGAGATTAGGAAGTGCTTAGGGAATGAGGGGGTATCGTGGCTAACGAAATTATTCAATAGAATAATTGTTAATAGGAAAATGCCTATGAATAGAGAAAGAGTATTTTAGTTCCTATTTATAAATATAAAGGAGATATTTAAAATTGTAATAATTATAGAGGGAAAAAATTGATGAGTCATACAATGAAACTATGAGAAAGAGTCATTGAACGTCGTCTAAGATTTGAGACTACAGTGTCAAAAAATCAATTTGGATTAATGTTAAGTAGATCAACTATGGAGATTATATATTTATTGAGCACACTCATAGAAAAGTATACATAGAAAAAGAAAAATCTCCATATGATATTTATAGATCTAGAAAAGACATAAGATAAAGTACTTAGAGATATAATAGGGAGAGTGCTTGAGAGAAAATGAGTGACGAATAGATATACTGAGGCGATAAAAGAAATGTACGACAGGACTATAACTATAATTAGGTCTTCCATGAGAGAAAGTAAAAAATTTTCAATCACGGTGAGATTATACCAAGGATCGGCCCTAAGTCCATATGTATTCGCTCTAATTATGGATAAACTCACTAGGGACATTCAAGGTGATGTCCCATGGTGTATGCTATTTACAGATTATATTGTATTAGTAGATGAAACTTGAAGGGAGATTAACAATAAACAAAAATTTTGGAGAGAGACCCTTGAGTCGAAAGAGTTTAAAATAAGTAGAAGTAGGAATTAATATATGCAATACGATTTTAGTAATAGAAGAACTAGACATAGAGAAAAAGTTACAATTAAAAATCAAGAAATACAAACGAGTAAACTACTTAGATATCTAGGATTAATCATTAAAATGATAGAGAAATTAGAGATGACGTAACTCATAGAATTAACACTGTTTGGCTTAAGTGAAGGAAAACATCTGGCATATCATGTGATAGAAGGATACTAATAAAATTTAAAGGTAAGTTTTACCGAACAGCTATAAGGACAACAATGTTGTGTGAGATGGAATGTTAGGCAACAAGAAAACAACATAGTGACAAAATAAGTGTAGCAAAAATGAGAATGCTAAGGTGAATTGTGAAAAAACTTGAAAGGATAGAATATGAAATGACTGTATTAGAGAAATAATAGGAGTATTTCTAATTGAGGATAAGTTAACAGAGAATAGATTAAGATGGTTTGACCATTTTCATGGAGGTCGATAGAGACACCGATTCAAAAAAGTGATAGAATTTCTCTTAATGATATTAGAAGTAGGGTGGACCTAAATTAACATTGAACGAAATAATAAGAATAAAAATAAAAATATTTAACTTAAATGAGCGTATAACGCATGATCAAAATGAATGACGAATACGAACTTATATAGCTGGGCCAAATAATTAGGACATTAAGGTTTAATTTAGTTTGATTTGATTTGATTTTATTCAATTTGATTTTGTTCGATGTTTATGTACAATGGTGGGAAACAAAAAAGTTTTAGGAAAAGGTTAGGGGTAGTCGTTTAGGATGTGGCCTCATGTTTAATTGAAGTTGTCAAAATTCTGCAAATAGATCAGTGGAGTTAATTTTTGTTAGAAGCAAGACTTGCAATATAATATCCCTGGCCTCTTTCTAGATTTTATTGTGCCATCTTTGGAATTTCTCCTGGTCACTTTGCAAGTGTATATTTTGTTATAGATATATCATTCAAAACTTATAATTATTAAATTTTGAATAAAATTATGATCTATCAATCTATATTAAAAAAAAAATCATTTCCATTGTATGTCTTTTGAAATTGTTGGATTCAAAAGGGATTCAATTCTAATGGTTCTCGAAAATTCAGAGGTTTGCGATTTAATCTTTTCACGTAATCACAAGTCTCATTGATCTTTTTAGGGATACGCTCTAATCTAGTTTAAGTTACGATATCTAACCGCTGAGTTTGAGGGAGTAGTCAACGTAAGTACGAATATCATGTAAAAAAAAAAAAGGGAAAATTTCATTTACACTCCATGTCTTTCTAAACAACCATGTTATTGTGATATAATTTATAGACATAATTTGGTGAAATAATGAATTGTTAACAGTGATATGATAATGAATTCATTTAATACTACAATGAGACTCATTATTAAATACAATTAACTATCATTTTATTGGTAATAACTCATTATATTCCTAAATTATGTTCCAATTGCATTTGTGATTTCTAAAATGACAACTTATTTTTCATTCAATTTGATAGTTCGTATAAGTCACACGCATATTCAGCGGTTTGGCATACAAAAAAACATGTTTAAAAGACAAAAAACCCTGCAATCTCTCTCTCTCTCTCTCTTAATCACTCTGCTGCTCTCTCACCATTTCTATGTAGTATATCCCAAATTTGGGTTGTTTGATCTATTCACCACTTTCTCATATATTTCGGTGGTGTGGTTTTGACTTCTCCCATTAGTGTTTCTAATCAACCTTTCTTTAATCGTCACCTATTCAATTGGTTGAACCCAACGATGCCCAAAAAGCATCTGAAGCCGCAGCCTGCTAATTCTAATTCAACGAAGAAGACCACTAAGAAGTAGGTGGGTTTTTTGTTAGCCTGGAGAAGAAGAATGGATTGAGTTGTCGGAGAAGAAGGGTGCGGAGGGGCATCTATGGCGTAGGAAATTGTGGGCTATATCTTCCACGGGATCATCAGTTTTCTCTGATTCTGGATTTGACCCGTTTAACAAACTACTAACTTACGACCCCCTGAAAAGGTACTTTTTGCAAAAATTCGTAGCCATTCCAGTGAAGTTCTATCAATGCTCTACTTTGTTAATTCTAGCAAGACTAGTGTATTTCAATCAAGTGATAATCTTAAGATATATTGATTGCTTCACTTGCACACTACTTGTTTGACGAAATGCTTCCTTGTAAGGAAATTCATTTTGCCACCCTGAGAGAAAATGACCCAACTTTTGAATAATGACTCAATCTTGGAATTACCACATAGTAGAATGGAATGAATATGGGAGTTGGGATGTGTGAGGTTTGCTTAATATTAATCTTTTGGTTGAGTGGTATTTGGGCCTTTGCCTTTTATGGGAGATTGCAAGGACAAATTTGATTCTACCCTTTCCTTGCTAAGTGGTGCTAGTGTATTTATAAGAGTTCCCTTGAGCTCATCAGCTATTCTTAGAGGAACATTGGTGCCCGAAGAGAAGGTAGCAAAGCATGGTTGATTCAGTGACGAAGCAGATATTCATTTAACAGTTAAGCATGTCCATATACTGTGCTGTTGGGATTTTGCTAGATGTGACCATGTCATTATCTCAGGAAAAGGATCAGGCAACAGAAAAAAAGACTAGGATGGATTCTTCACTTGTGCATCACTAGGCTTATATTTATCATGTTTTTGTTAATTTGGGATGAAACTACCGTGAAGTTGAAAACTATAATGTGCCTAGTCCTGATCATGATCAGGATCAAGAGATCTACCCTGTGATTGGCAGCATGGAATTTCTTTGCATTTGTTTTCCCCTTTCTTTATCCTTCATCACCTCATGCTTTTTTGGGCATGCATTTGACTGCATCCCTCAAGTTAGTGAGCATTGAACTTAAAAGAGATGATGATTGCAAGAGGCTTATATTTTTGACAAATATTTGTCACCATCATATATCTAGAGCATGATAATAGTGTATAGATTCTAGAATAATTCCAACACTGAAGTCTGCCATAAATCACAAAATTGTTGCAAAAATGAGTCTATGTCAAATTACCACTGCATGCTATAGCTATATCATGCTTTCCCAACATGTTTGTAATCATACCATAAGTATACAGTCGGAATTTAATTTTTTCCTTTGTGAAACTTATGCAAAAAAACAAAAAGTTTTTCTTCTTGGGGGAAATTTTTCCCCAAAAGGGTAAAAAGGTCCTCTCTGCAGAAATGGAACTCTACAATAAAAACTTGGTAGCTTGAAACACTTTCTTTTATAGTCCCATGATATACAGTCTCCTTTCCATCCCAATTAAGAAACATGACGTGTTATGATATTTGAATTTGTAGGATCACTTAAACTAGGATCAGAATTTTTGATTCTAAATCATCTGACTGGATGGAATATTTGAATTGTTGAGATTTGAAAGATGCATCCACCCCTTCTCCCCCCAATAAAAAAAAAGGAAGAGAGAGGAAGATGTTCAGTCCAGCTTGCATGAAGGTTTCTGTGTTAGTCTGTGACAATAGCATCAACAGTTTCTATAAGTTGCATGCAATAAGAAAATTTGGATACTGCATTTTGAATTCTAAATTACAAGAATTTATAACTATGCATTCTGGTATGTCTGAAATTACTGTGATGAACGATTCCGTAGGTTAGTGCCTTGTAATGCCAAGAGTTTGTTGTCAAACTGCCCTCTTCTTCTGCATAGACAACAATAAACAATGAATATTGTTTTAGATATAATGAGTTGTACTGACCCTTGTTTGCATTCAAGTCCACCCCCACCCACCAAAACAATGATCTAGAGTAATGCTATATTATATTCTCCTATGTTTCGTTTTAACAAAGTTAAGTTGAATGCTGTTAATCATCCTTTTCCTCTTCAGAAAGAGTTGACAACATTGCTGTGGTGATGGCTGCTGCTAAGATTCGACCGAGCAGCTTTTCTCGCAACTTTGCGGCTGTACCCAATTCTCAAATCCCTGGACTTAAGTATGGACCAAATGGCACAATCTTTGTTTCATCTGGAATACCAGATCTTGATAGTAAAGCCCCCCACAACTCTTATTTGTCTTTGGACTTACATTTGAACATGAACAGAAACTCATATAGCAATTGTATTGAGTACTTAGTTCTCTTAATTTCTTGTTTTTTCATATGTGATTTATAGAGATCTTAGGAGGTGGGTTTGCTTTGGGAAGCCTAGTCCTAGTAATGGAAGATATTGAAGCACCTCATCATATGCTGCTATTGAGGAATTTCATGTCTCAGGGTTTGGTTCACAATCAACCCCTTCTTTATGCTAGTCCATCTAGAGACCCAAGAGCTTTTCTTGGTACTTTGCCAGGTCCGATGTCGTCCAATGATGGTAAATCTCGTGGCAATGATGCAGAACAGGTGCACCTTCTTCCTCTTTCTGTCTCTCTCCCCACACACGCTCACTTCAGTGCATGTGTATCAATTTGTGCAGTTTTGGAATAATATGGATTTGTCCATTAAACTACAGGAGAAGGGATTGAGGATTGCTTGGCAGTATAAGAAGTATTTGGGGGAAAATCAGCAGGAGTGTCAGAAAGGTAAGCTTGTGCAGACCTACATTTACATTCCCTTGTTCTTCGTAATCTCCTCCTCAGAGTAATCATTCCAATACAATGGATTTAAGGAAAGTGTAGCCAACTCGTTTTTAAACATGTTGTGGCAAGTGAGGTGGAGATCTAAGTAGAGCCGAGTTAGTTTGCAACTGCAGTACAGACCAAAAAAAATGGAGCTCTCATAACTGGGATAACCAGGATGAAGGCATGAGAATTATATGCTGAACATTTTAATCTGATTATGATCAAATTCACCTAGAAAAAGGAAAACAAGAAGAAGAATAGAAAGAAATTATCAGACTGGCAACTCTAAATGCAAATATACCAAAGCATCAATGACTTAAAAAACATGAGAATGCAAATTCATCATTAAAACAACTGCCAATAATTTAAAGAAAAAGTAAAATAAGACTCCTACCGCACTCAAAAGCAATAATGCAAACTTTTACATGGGAGGACTTGCATTATATGCCAATTGAATCCATGTGAGTTTTAAGAATCCTTGTGAGTTTTAAGTATCCTACCCAAGCCCCGCGCATACTTCAATTGGTTGTTGCCATCTGTCTTCATACTACCCTGATGAGTTGAAGGCATGGAACTGCTCATAAAGGTCAGGATTTCAGCCTATCAATGACCAAACTACCATCCCAAAGTGGATTCTCCCTCCATTTGCTCATAAAGGTCAGGGTTTCAGCCTATCAATGACCAAACTACCATCCCAAAGTGGATTCTCCCTCCATTTACCGACATACTTTCATATCCATCTCTTGTAATAGAAAACACTTCATGATCAATGACAGTTTCAACTTATTCCTTCACATGGAGTGCTGGAGGGAGTTGAGGCGTCAAGAGTCACATCATTTTTACTTCCAGAGTGTAAAATTATAGTCAAGACATTGCTTTCAACCATGTTTTCCTAAATGCCAAGAACATTGGCAGTACTGCTAATCTTTCTTAGGATTTGTAGGGACCATCGCTGTTGGAACGAAGCTTCCTGTAAGCATCTGTAGGACACCTTGATCCTTGTCTTGCCACAACCATGTTTCCTTGAATTTGGCTAACTTTCCCTACAAATCTGAATATGCTTCGCACCCTCACTTTATGCAACGTTTAGGGTTTGTTTGGTTAGGAAAAAAATGTTGGAAGTGCAAATAGTAGAAAGTGAAAATATAGGGTGTGTTTGGATTGCATCTANCGCACCCTCACTTTATGCAACGTTTAGGGTTTGTTTGGTTAGGAAAAAAATGTTGGGAGTGCAAATAGTAGAAAGTGAAAATATAGGGTGTGTTTGGATTGCATCTAAAAAAACAATATTCAAAAACATGTTTTTGGAAATATTTTTTTGAAATGACTGCATTTATCGAATTGAATACTTCTTGTACTCATATATAATACACACTATTGTTCCTACATATGAGAAATCATCCACTATCTTACATCGGCTCATATCTACATGTTATCGTCAAGGAATTAAATTTCATTTCGAAACGGTCGAAACGTTCGAAATGTTTCCGTTTATATAGAAATTAAAACGAATTATTGATTGAATATCAAAATTCCAGTGTTTCGAGATGTTTCGGTATTTTTCAAGCTCTGTTTCGGAATGTTTCAATCAATGTTTTGGAAATAAATTTTTAATTTTTTTTATTTGCTTCCGAAATATTACTGAAATGTTTCCGTTTTCAAGCTCACCAAAACTATGCACTGAAACAAAATTTTGATACTTGGTTATCTTATATGAAGCAAAGGTTATTTCTTTACTACATTGATAACAAGTAAAAACAATAAAAACAACAAGCACATTTGCAGCGTGCACAAATTGCGCCCACTCCTACAATTGACAATTGGGTCATTAACAATTGCATGATATATATCCACCAAATGAATGCATATCTATGGTCTCTACTAATTAGACACCTGTAGAAATACCGCCCATCATTCCTCACTGTACGAGCCTTGAAAGTAAGGCTGTTAATAAAATTGAGCTACTCGAGCTTGGCTTGAGTTCGACTTGGGTTCGGCTCATTCAGGCTCGGTNTAGAAATACCGCCCATCATTCCTCACTGTACGAGCCTTGAAAGTAAGGCTGTTAATCAAATTGAGCTACTCGAGCTTGGCTTGAGTTCGACTTGGGTTCGGCTCATTCAGGCTCGATTCATTTTCTAAACGAGCTCGAATTTGAACTAGTTTTTACGCTTGTTTAGAAAACAAGCCCTACAAGTTCGGCTCAAAGTTGACAAGTTCAACTCGTTTATGTGCAAATACTTGGAGTCGGCTCGGGCTCGACTTGTTTTTGGCTCGTTCAGGCTCGGCTTGTTTCCTAAACGAGCCGAATTTGAACAATTTTTTAGACTCGATTAAGAAATAAGCTTTTCAAATTCGGCTTAAACTCGGCTCGGGCTCGTTCGACTAACAACCCTACCTGAAAGCTCTCACGTGGCCAATNAGCCCTACAAGTTCGGCTCAAAGTTGACAAGTTCAACTCGTTTATGTGCAAATACTCGGAGTCGGCTCGGGCTCGACTTGTTTTTGGCTCGTTCAGGCTCGGCTTGTTTCCTAAACGAGCCGAACTTGAACAATTTTTTAGACTCGATTAAGAAATAAGCTTTTCAAATTCGGCTTAAACTCGGCTCGGGCTCGGGCTCGTTCGACTAACAACCCTACCTGAAAGCTCTCACGTGGCCAGTACCCCTTGCACATAAAGGTCCTATAGCATTATCCATGTGCAATGCGTTTTATCAAGAAAAATAAAAGTACTATTAATATGTAATGCAAGCAACACTTGATACCTTGTTAGGACATCTAAATTTTTTTTCGAAATAACGAAACTTAGTGGTGTATGGAATTGTACGAGTACCACCAAGCCTACATTATGATCATAGGTACAGACTAAACAACGAAGAAGGATATGCCAAACGTCAAAAAGCAATTCAATTCAATCAATTTAAAGTCTGATTGTAATTTGAGTATGTAATATGTTAACCATTGATAATTTTTTCAAAATTTCCAAATTGATGAAATTAACATAATATTTATCACTAGAAATATTATTTATTAAATCTTTAAACTGATTACACACTTTATATGGCACAAACTTGTGGCGATTATGCAAAATGATATCATGTCAGATGTCAAGGAAGACATAGAATAATTTAAGGCCATCAAAAGTGAAAATACAACCTAAGACAATTTACACACAACCAGCTTCTATCTGATTCCATAATCTTTTGTACATTCTATCCTTTGTCGAGTATGATTCCACACATATTTATACGATTAGGAAGAATATACTTCTCATCTTAGACTTCTAGGATCATAATCTCTACAACCAAGCACTTCACAAGAAAATTCCAATTCACAGAAAATAATTCCAAGAAGAATATCAAATTATAAAAATTAAAAATAGGAAAATTATGTCAAATGAAAATGCAGTTTCTGTCAAAAGCATTTTCTGTCAGATGCATTTTAACTAAACAAATCAATAGGTGTGGAAGTAGAAAGCACAAAGATTTGGGAAGCCCATACCTATCCTAGCATATATCAGATCTGAAATGGGTTTGGATGCTCTCTTTGGACCTAACATATATCAATAGATCTAACATATATCATGGATCTAACATATATCATGGATCTAACATATATCAATAGATCCGTATCATAACTCAACAGATCTGTATCATATTTGAACATATCTGTTGAGTTATGTCATTTTTACAATAGATCCGAAAACTACACCACAAAAACAGAAGATCCACCGACCAAAAGCACGATGAACATAGATTTGGTAGACATGAGCTACAAATTTTAGAAAACAAATGATAGATCCATGAGTTTATACCTGGCATAAGCTAATATCTGACAGATGTGGGTCGTTTTTGCCGATTGATGATGGATTCAGGCTGGAACAAAGTCGCCTTGAATTGTCTTGTCATATCTACTTGTGCAAAGTCCAGTAAGGATCCTTGGAGTCTTGGACAAAGACGATCTTCTACTTCTTCATTGCTGGCTTTCCTTCGAATGAATGGAGCTTCAGTTGAAGAAGACTCCGCCGGTTTGGATCCAGCCAGTGTGCAGGTTGTTGGAGAGGAATGGGCGGTGTGAAAATGACGAGAGAAGAGAGAGAGAAAAAGGGGCTTTTATATCAAGAAATAAGTACACAGTAAAAAAGGGTTTGCTTTATCTTCGTGTTTTTGTTGTTCCCTTAATTTTGAACTCGAAAACGGATAAAACACCTTTTGGGTGTTTCCCAAATTTCCTTTGTTTTTGTTGAGAATTTCCAAAGACACTTGAGATGTTTTCTCAATCCAAACATGTTTTTGCCAGTTTTTGGAATCTGAAAACAAAAACCATGTTTTTGAAACACAATCCAAACACAACCATAGTTTCTTGCACACATTTGGTTATGATGAAGATTTTTCTAGAAAACTGTTTGAAAATTGTTATAATTAGCTAAACAACAATAGTGTAGACATGTGTGTTCTTTTTGTTCATTGGAGGAAAAATTTAAATGTTCCAAGACTCCTTGATGGTATTTGGGGATGTGGGGTGGAGGACTCTATGGTAAGGTGGGAAATTGATAAAATTTAACCATTTTTCATGGGAAAATTAGTTTTTCCCATACAATTTGAAGGAATTGTATTTGAGTTGTATGAGCAACTTTAATTTCTTGCACTTTCTACCATAATCTTGCTAAACAAAGCTGCTGTATTGTTTTTCTGTTTCCTTTCCTTTCTATCATTTTCTTGCTAAACAAACGAACCCTTACCAAACATTGTCACATACTTCACAAATATGTCGAGCAAAAGTGACATCTTCAATGCTAGGAGGAGCCTCAATAGGTAAAGGAAACAAGTCGATTCATTTCCTAGGTATTAAACCTGTCATCTTCTCTAAAAAACTGTGACCAGTGGCTGACTTACTGATCTGCTGTGTGCGTTACCTGTTGCAGGAATAATTGGTCCCAATTAGGCAACTGGCAGCATGATCCTTATCCAGACAACCAAATGGATCACCCAACTGACCCAGCTAATTGAATAAGAATGCAGTGATAAGTGATTGGCTTGTAAATAGTGATCGGGAACAGTAACTGGCAGATTTTAGATTTTCTTGAGAATAGGTCGAGGATTTTGAGGGAAATCAAGAGAAGGTAAGGGTTGAACAAGTTGTAATCATGTTTTCTCTGGGTTTTTTGAGGTTCTAGAATGCATAAAATAAAAAAAACAAGGGAAACTATAAGAAATCTAAAAATACTCCAAGAGTTCCATGGGCATCATATATAAGGTTGCAACAAAACAAGAATAATCATTGAAAAATGCCTGATTACTAGAGTTCTATTGAAATGAGAGAACTACTTAACTTCATGTAGACTTTAGCAATTCTAACTTTAGAAGTAACTTTAAATGGACGGAATCCACAAGTAGAAACTAACAAAACTTATATGGACCAACTATAATCATGTAATATGACTCGAAGCATGACCTGCCACATATTGAGACCCGTGGCCACTGCCAGAACCCATCTGCCCAACAAATATAAAATCAATGAATTCCCCACAACTTAAAAAAATAAAAAAATTACTATGAAGTCAAAAATCAAAATACTAGTCACTAAAAAATTTTAAATTCCAGAGAGAAGACAGAATGAGGAAGAAAAAGACTGATCGGCTTGCCCCACAATGGGGAGACCACCCTATATACATGAATGAATAGGTAGTTACAAAAATAACCATCCAGACAATATCGCTCTCTCTCAAGATGGAGCAATATCAATTGTTCCCAGCTTGTTACACATATTTATTTGATGTGTGACCATCAAATAAATTTGGTACCCACAAGTCTTCTATTTCTCTTGATCATCAAAGCTTTTCCTTCATCTCTACTGAACTTGGTCTTCAGATTCATTAAGTATCAATTGGTTACGGCTCATCAAGAAGACATAAAGTACATACTTCCTCTGTGAGATCCCTTCTTTAGATCTGACTACTTCAAAACCCAGGAAGTAATGTAGCTTCCCCAAGTCTTTCATCTACAAATATTAGCTCAAGTGAAGTTCTAACAAATTTATATCTTCATGTCATCTCCAAGAATTACCGAATAATATTGTCCTCTCTATTCTTCACACACACACACAAAAAAGTCAGACATAGGTCAATATACATCTGCTACCTTACTGAATTTATCAAATCAAGTCCTTGGAAAGTATTTAGTCTCACAGATTGCTTTCTTCAACTTGCTTGCCTTGTGTGGCTTACCATGAACAACATACATAGGAGCTGGGACAGATCTACAGTGGGCCATTGGGGGCCGCTGCCTCCATTGGAATTTTAAAAAATTTGGGACCTAGATAAAATTTTGAAAATTTCAAAAATTTCAGAATTTTGCCCCCACTGAAATTTTCATAAAAAGTATAGGGTTAGTGAGTGTAATTTTTACACATCAAAACATAATTTTGGTAGCCTTAGTTTTCACGCCCTTCATCTTTGATTCATTGTCTAACTTCGACTCAAAGTTCTTGCCCTTTCTTCACTAGCCTCTCTTCTTTCCTTTATTTGCTATATTAATCAACAATTCGACCTACTTGGTTGTTGGCTCCTGTCAGGCTCCCATCCCTCTCTTCGCATCTCAACAACATTGGTCATAAAACACTCTTCAGTCAAGCACCCACCATCCCAATCTTCATAAAATAATCCCACTGGTTACAATTCTACTACATTATTGATTATGTGAGCGATTATTGTGGTTCAAAATTATGCAAATCAGCTTATGAAGAAACCCTAGAAGATAATGTTGAAGCTATGGAGAGATAACCCATTAACCATAAGTTTTTTTTCCACTAGTTATAAATCCGCAATGAGAGCCCTAGAAAATTCTGTGGGAGTTGTCTAGAAGTAAACCAATAATCCATTAAAGGGTTCCAAAGATTTTTTGAGATTTTTCATATGTTGCAACCTTTTATTTTCTGATATTCATGACAAAATATAGTGATTTTCTGTCAAACCATTTTTGTCTATTAAGTGTTTGTTAAAATGCCATAGACAAAAATTATTATAGAAACAATGATTGTGCGTGAGCCCTAAGGAAATTATGGACTACCCAAGATCAAAAGGGTTGTAAATTTTAAATATTTTATAGGAACTATTGCAAATTAAAAGGAAATGGTCGATCAGTGTGCTATTTTTTTTTTTGTAAGTACTAGTGCTACTTTTTAAGCTAACTTCATGATACGCTATTAACTTGAGTATGTGTAATAGAATTACTGCACTGTTGCAACTTACATCGATGAAAATTTCTTTGAGGGTGAGAGGATAATATGGAGTTTGATGCTAAGAAATTGGTTTAATGAGACCGTGCCATAATTATTTTATTTGTAATAAAATCTGTGAGGTTGAATTGAAGGCTTATCGCCTTCATGAGTTTTGATAGTTGTCATTCGGAATTAGTATCTGTTAAACTTGGCTTACTAGTCGCTCTTTTTCCAACCATATAATTATTCGGTTTTATTGGTTCCTAAAATTTCAATTTGGGTTACATTTTGAACTAAGCAATTGAAAATTTGCCTATTATGAGTTACCCTTTGGATTAATATGTTCCATTGACTGGTCTGAATAATTTGCTAGTGATTGATTAAATTGTTCGTCAATCTCAGTTCAATTCTAAATTATTTATGTTAAATTTGTTTGGTTTATTTTGGTTATTTAAGCTCTATATAAGTTGTTTGTTAAAAAGTCAAGGATAAAGTATCGAATTAGAGTCTAACTAGACCATTTAACAAGTTTTAAGTTGCCCATAACCATCCTGGCTCCGCCCCTGCATAGGAGGTTTCTTCATGTACACCACTTCCTGAAGATCATCATGAAGGAAAAGCATTTTTAAAAATGTTCGGCTGCTTTTGATGGATGTATAGATGTAAGAATTTTGCAACTGGAAAGGAACTCATTTTATTGTGTCGTGCAGATGTTAAATCTGATTACTGCAATGACTTTGACTTGCGGAAGCCGCTGGAAAGGCATTTTCTTAGCAGACAACGTATAGATAGCATAAGCCTTCAAGATTCTCCAAATCTTGCTACTTTTCGTGATCGTTGTTCGTTGTTCTTAGCTCAACTTCCGAGGTAATGTCATTTATCTATATCTCCAAGATGAGTCTTTACATGACTGAATTGCAGAAATCATATGTACCAGGACTGCATCAGAATTTTTTTTAGTAATGGTGTTTCGAATTTGTTTTAGGATTTTTTATTGTTCAAGAAAGCTTCTAGATTTTAAAGTTTAACATAGTGTATGGAGCATTTTGGGGTTGGAATTGGTCTTGCTTAAAATTGTTTAGTTGCAGGAGTGTTAGATATTTGGTTTTTGGAAACTATCACAGCAAGTCATTCGTGGTGTGTTGGATCAAAGGCTATGAAGATGGGCTGGTTAGGGTTTGGTATTATATGGATTTAACAATAACCCTTGAGCAAGAGAGGAGAAGGACCATATAATCTGACGTGCGGTTCAATTGCATCACATCTTAATATGAATCGAAAATGTGTTAAAACTTTGAGGTTGTTGAGGAAGCAAAAGGATGTTGGAAGATTAATACTTGAATCTTGTACATGGTTTGGTGCTTGAATTTACAGGGATGGGCAAAGAAAATTGTATTGACTTTCTTTTTGTCAACTTTCTATTGGACCCGATTTTCTTTTTGTTTTGGTAATGAAGAATCATCCCAAAAACCAATCCTTTGGACTTGTGACTGCAATGCACGCTCTGGATGAGCCCAACCAACCCAATCCACGGACATCGAGTAAATCTGGACATGAACTTACAACCTCGAGGTACTACATTAAGTGAGGCGTTCCCATTTAAACTATTGTTTTGTGTGTGTGCATTTTTTTTGGGATTGGGTGTGGGTTTCAGTTTTGAAATACTGAACAAGTGAAAGGGAGACATAGGAGGTGATTTGCTTAACTTTGCTCCTATCTGTAGAGTTTGACCCTTGATTTTGTATCATAAACTTCTTTCAAAAGATAATTATTCTCACATATTCCTTATGGTCTCACATAATTATCTCTGCTGTTATGCCCTTTTTGTATTTTAGTTTCCTTTGTTAGCTTAGTAGCTAACAAGCTAAACAAATGATTCATGTTCTTTTACTTCCCTGCTTCCCTTCACTTGAAACTAATTCCTGAGGTTTGCTTTAGGTGTTTCAGATCCAGTTGGGTTTGTGTAATTTGTTTTCAATTTACTCTTACAGTCTTCTGATTTTGTTCTCAGATACGATGGAAACATTACATGTGCAGGGCGTATTGCCATCCAATCATTATGTGCTCCACAATGTGAATTTTCCAACATGGTCAGTGGCAATAACATTTTCCTTAAACTTTTAATCCGCTTTTTCCATTTTGAAAATGTGTTTTTTAAATCAAAAAATCCTTTTCAAATATGCCCTTACAAATTACTGAAATTTTCTACCATGCTTGGTGGCTACCTGTTGCAATTATAATGAATCATTATCAATCTATTATTATTGTTCTAGGAATGGGATATACTTTCCTTTATCAGATCTTTGAAAGGCCTGGTCCGATCTTCAAATGCTGTTGCTTTTATGACCTTTCCACCTTCACTTGTTTCACCATCTTTCTCAAAGAGATTGCAGCATTTGGCCGACACCTTGCTGTCTGTCAGAGCAATTCCAGGTATGTTACTGGCTCTATCATTGATAGTAGCATTGTCACCTCAAAATTTTCATGTGAAATAATTTCTGACTTGAATCAGACGAGGACAAGGAATTGGCAAAACTCCTCACTGGTTACCAGGATATGGTTGGCCTTCTCAGTGTACACAAAGTGGCACGCATCAATACACAGGTGAAACAAAAATTTGGTTTGCAGTGAGCAAGTGCATATATTGATGCTATTTTCTTGGTCTCAATGGAGTTCTCTTCAAATACTTGCACCGAGCTTCCTTGAATGTGAGAATACAGTCTTACTTTTTGTAGATAATAATTAATAAAGCGAGAATTACAAAAATAATGGACAAGTAATCCAACTAAGTACAAAAAGTTAAAAAAGTTCGAGATGTGGCCTAGATGTTTTACTCATTCCAAAGAAACCTACAAATTCAACTTTCCCTTAAAATATCCTACAATTCCTTTCCAACCTAATGTTTCCTAGATCGTGGCTCGCTTTGGTATGTATTGCGGATACGAGTATGTGGTATGACATTTTTTTTGGTATGCGGTACAATGGGGGTACAATGGGGGTAGGCTTAGTTGGTACGATATTTTGGGTCGCAATTAGTTTTGAAACTTTTAACTAGATCGTTTTTGCCGCTATACAACATCATATATCATAGAACATTTATAAACATTAAGTCAGTTACTATTTATCTTACATTTGTGCTCGAATTTCTATTATCTAAAACAATATATAATTATAAATCTATATGCACATTGTCAATTAAATCTATATGCTACATGTTTCAGAGCGAATCGATTTAGGGTTAGTATTACAAATTGGAGTCTTACATTACATTTTGGTGATCTGGATCGCGAACCCATCTCATTTGGAATTGATGTACTCAGGTCGTGGGTCATCAAGGGTTTAATGAGTTTTGGTAACTATGTTCCAACCAAACCACTCAAAAAATAGCCATAATCGCACTTCAAATAATTGTAGCCCTTTAATTTTTCCCAATGCTTCCAAGCCCAGGTGATAAGGAGATGAAACAAACTTAAAGCAATGGTCACATTATGAGACCTAGATAAATAATAAAAGTGAGGGAGCAAAGATGATTTTGCAACCCCCTTTCACCAAATACCTTGCCAAAAATGAATTTTTTTTCCCAATCCCCCACCACCAATTTAACAAATGTAGAAAAATATGACAAACCCTGTGAGACGTGTTGTAAGGACAATGAGCAGATCCCTTACCCCATTAGAATCTCACCCATTATATAGAAGTCAATATTTACTCTTAAAAATGGAATGCCACAAAGAGTCTTTCTCCAGAGGAAACCTCCACAAACCTTTACCCTACAATGCAACATTTCTCTTGCTTGAATTCCCCATTGCTAAAGTGTATTTAGCTCTTGGTTTAGTGACCATGTTTCAATTAGTCAAATTTTCCCTTCTTACCTTTCACCGTTATCCTCCTACAAAAATCTCACATCATTTTTTCTCACTTTTTTGCATCCATACCTGAGGTTTTGAAGAGAGATAAAGATAAATAAATAGTAAACATAGGTCAGAATGAACAAGGGTAAGCCTCCCTTCCTCAGTTCCTTGGACAAAATATCCCTTTCCATCCTTCCAATCTATATTGAGGTATTGGTCCCCAAAACTCCTTGACAAAGGATTTTCCCCAACAGTATCCCTAAATATCTCAAGGATCACTCTACAATTACACTCTCTAACCCGTTAGCAAATCTAGCCAAGTTAATCTGATTAGTGTTTTGTTGAACTCTTTCAGTAAGCATCTCTTCCAAAATTAATCCTTTGTTGTCAATATTTCTTCTCGAACTACCCCTCGATAAACCAGAAGTTCGGGAAACTGTGAGACCCCACTCGAACTAGCTACCCCCTAAGTAGGGCTGTTAATCAAGTCAAGCTTGAACATTTTTTAAACTCGTTAATGTATAAATAGTAAAACAAGTCTGCTCGTTTATGTGTAAATAGTCGAACTATTAAGCTCGAATTCAGTTTGATTAACACCCCTACCCCTAAGCAGACCTTTTTGGGTCCAAATCTCTTTGTTCTCTCTAAGTCTTCTTCTTGCATGGAATAATGCAACTGTTGCAAAAACAGGGATTTATTCCTGCAGCTCGACTCTTCGACATACTGACTTTTAGTCCCGGAAACAGAATAAAAAACTTGATAATCCTTTTTTGATCTTTTTTTCGGGGGCAATCCTTTTCTCACCTTGCTTATGGTATATTTGATGTTCTGAGTCTTCTGACCTCACTTAAAAATGCCAGGTTTAATGAAACTGGCCCATGGTTATCCACGTTTTTGTGTTGTAAACAATGTCAATGCTTATATCACAAATCCACTGAGGAGCTGCCTGATATGCGACCTTTTATCCAAAAACTTTTGAATCTGAAGAAAAATCCTAAAGACATGATGCATTGTCTTTGTCATGTCATATACTACTATGCCTGATTGGGTTCAAACTTGTCAGCAGGTTCCTGTAATTCTAGAGGCATCCACATTCTCCATTAAGCTGCAGAAGCGGAGGTCATTAGTTCTAGAATGTTTAAATCAAGCTCCCGTGGATGGTTCAAGTGGGAGTTCGTATGGCTCTTCCAGTAGTTGTTCTGGGTCTTCTAAGACCCACATAGATTTTTAGATGCTGGGTCAGTTCCATGGCTGAAGTTTGTCTCCTGACCACATCAATTCAAAACGCCACACTGACCCTGGAAGCATGAAGTGCAGTTGATTTTCAAATGCCACAACTTAATGGATTCCAATGAGGATGCTCTGGGCTTTGGTTTATGATCATTTTGAATCGGCCAACAAGTGCACATTGCAAAATTCATGAAGAAAAAGGTTTACATGGCAGAAATGAAAATTTCTGTCAAGTTTCTTTCCTTTTGTTGTTGTCGTTCTTGGTGACACTAGGATAAAGAGAGCTGGTGTAGAAAGAAACTTTAAAGATTGGCTTTTTTAATTTTTTTGGTCAGGGCTTTGTTTTTTAAATAAATTAAAAATATATTCATATTGTCTTTTTAAGTTTGGTGACTTTGATAGCATCAGTATGCAATCAATTCTGATCAAGCATTGTCAAACTACTTTTTTTTTAATCTTTTCTTTTCCCCTTACCTTCTTGTTTTGTTGTTCATTGTTGCCTATGGGATCTATTTTGTGAATTGGATTATGCATTTTTTTTTTCATTTGCGCTTAGGTGAATCTGGCTATTTGTGTACATTTGACCTTGTTCAGATCTCATCCNGTTCCATGGCTGAAGTTTGTCTCCTGACCACATCAATTCAAAACGCCACACTGACCCTGGAAGCATGAAGTGCAGTTGATTTTCAAATGCCACAACTTAATGGATTCCAATGAGGATGCTCTGGGCTTTGGTTTATGATCATTTTGAATCGGCCAACAAGTGCACATTGCAAAATTCATGAAGAAAAAGGTTTACATGGCAGAAATGAAAATTTCTGTCAAGTTTCTTTCCTTTTGTTGTTGTCGTTCTTGGTGACACTAGGATAAAGAGAGCTGGTGTAGAAAGAAACTTTAAAGATTGGCTTTTTTAATTTTTTTGGTCAGGGCTTTGTTTTTTAAATAAATTAAAAATATATTCATATTGTCTTTTTAAGTTTGGTGACTTTGATAGCATCAGTATGCAATCAATTCTGATCAAGCATTGTCAAACTACTTTTTTTTAATCTTTTCTTTTCCCCTTAACTTCTTGTTTTGTTGTTCATTGTTGCCTATGGGATCTATTTTGTGAATTGGATTATGCATTTTTTTTTTTCATTTGCGCTTAGGTGAATCTGGCTATTTGTGTACATTTGACCTTGTTCAGATCTCATACTAATGCTGGAGTGATCTAGCATGCAATTGCAATGGGACATGAAGGGAACAATCTTACCATCTCACCTTGTGACGAGAGAGAATTATTTTGGGATTTGGGATAGGCAAATCTAGAATTATTTTGCAGCAGTTTCAGAGCTATAAATAAGGCCCCATTTGGTTATACTAATTGTAATTGGGAGTACTCAATTTTACTTAATAAGACCTTATCCCAACATTTTTAGGGTACGTTACATGACTCTTGTTTTGTCACCGATCATAATTGAGAATAAGATACTTATTTCCACTAAAAAGGTGTCCAAGTTATCAATGCCACATTAATCTTATATTAAGGAATGAACTTTCCTTTACGAAAGAAGTTGATATTAGAAATGAACTTGATTAAGATTTTAATTTTTTTAGTATGTCTTTTTATGCTTATTTTCAATTAAGATCACCGCTGTATCGACTATCGACTATTCTTACCTGCTAATTTAGGTATAACGAAAGTCGTTCCCATTCCCAACCAACATTACCACCATTCAGACTCGGCCTAAGAACCTATTTTGGACAGTCAATGTTCAAGAAGGCATGGGATCACTTCAAGCAACATACTCGAAGATAACACTATTCTTGCGCTTAACGATGTGGAACTTGAGCATTACAACAAAGGGAGCAGAGGATGGGGACATAGGGACGGACGCAGAATGACACCTTGGAGACAACACACCTTTGTTTCTGCCCTTTTTAGATCTAACTCACTTAGACAAACCATCGTTCTAGACGAACAATCACTGCACTGCGGTCGTTCTAGACAAATCATTTGTTCTGGCCATGGGACAAAATAACAGAGCCACAAGACCGAGACTAAGCAGCCTTCAACATGTTCCCAATGTTGATCACGAATTGGTATCTAACATCAGCTTTCGCTAGACAGTCCATAGCAGTGTTCACATATTTCATTGGAATGACCTCAACATCAGCTGTTATGTTGTGTTTTGCACAAAACTCGATCATTTCTTGCGTCTCCTTTATCCCACCAATGCCACTCCCTGCTACTATCTTTCTCCCTGTTTTTTACACATCCACTGTTATTTACACATTCTTGTTTGCAATTCTTATTTGAACTACAAGAATAATTGGACAACTAGCAACAAACACAAGGCATAAATGGTGCGGTACAAATTGATGAGTCAAATTCTTACCTGCAAGCATAGGCATGACTGGTAGTTCAAGTGCCTTTGGTGAACCGAGCAGGGTAAGTTTCCCATCATGCTTCAATAGGCTGAGCACCATATCAATAATACCCTCCAACAGCAGCCTACATATATGTTCAACAACCAAAAGGGAGTTACCATACACACTGAAAAATGGTTACCTGCAGCTGAGCTTGATCACTGCTAACTAAAAATGAATCGGGGCCAAGATGTTCAATGGCTTCCTTCTTCTTGGCAGGGGATGTACTAATCACTGTCACCTTAGCCCCAAAAGCCTTAGCAAGCTTCATTGCTACATGGCCTAGCACGCCTAGACCCACCACACTGATATACATACCTGGCTTGTCAAGTCCAAAATTCCTCAGGGGAGAACCAACATCAAGAGGCAGGTTGTCTGGCCAACAAATCACAAAATGCTCTTTGACAACTATGATATCAGAGTATCCTCCATATGTGCGGGTTCCATCAAAGTAGGTAGAATTGTAAGTGAGTATCATTTTGTGACAGCCTTTTCGCATCTGTTGCATGAGTGGCCTGATCCAACCATACCCTGACACCAACTTTGTCTCCAACTTTTACCTTTTGTACCTTGCTACCTACTTCTGTCAGCTCACCCGTTATCTCATGTCTGCATCATTCAAAATTAATTCAGTTGGCACATGTCAGATAGACTCGACTCAGAGTTACTCAACCATCTTTCATTGCACGCGATGAATCCCTAATCTGGCGGCCAAGCAGAAGCTCCTATAGTTTGAGGTAATGCAAAACAATCATAGAAAACCAATGTTGTGATTCATGTGAATGAGTGTGAAAACTAATTCCAATTTGCAATAGAACTCATAAACATGATGCACTTCAATTTCGCCTGTTTGCAACTGTTTTTACTTTTAAAGCTGCATGAAAAATGTCTCCCACAGCACAAATCACTGAAAAATTTAAATTCTCGTGGATTGTTTCTATGCACTTCTCCGCTTGTTTGAAGAGAGAATATATGCCTTTCGGAAGCATGAAAGATCATTACTCAGTATGTTCACCATTGTTTACCTGGAAGCAAATAGAGCAGCTGCTGAAAAAAACTCCCATTAAACCAAAAATGACTTAGATTATTCCCTTCCATGACATGGATTCACCTCCTACCAACATAACTAAAATTCCATGGCTGCAATGGCCACGACACAAGCAATTCAAGTTCAGCTAATANGGAGAACCAACATCAAGAGGCAGGTTGTCTGGCCAACAAATCACAAAATGCTCTTTGACAACTATGATATCAGAGTATCCTCCATATGTGCGGGTTCCATCAAAGTAGGTAGAATTGTAAGTGAGTATCATTTTGTGACAGCCTTTTCGCATCTGTTGCATGAGTGGCCTGATCCAACCATACCCTGACACCAACTTTGTCTCCAACTTTTACCTTTTGTACCTTGCTACCTACTTCTGTCAGCTCACCCGTTATCTCATGTCTGCATCATTCAAAATTAATTCAGTTGGCACATGTCAGATAGACTCGACTCAGAGTTACTCAACCATCTTTCATTGCACGCGATGAATCCCTAATCTGGCGGCCAAGCAGAAGCTCCTATAGTTTGAGGTAATGCAAAACAATCATAGAAAACCAATGTTGTGATTTATGTGAATGAGTGTGAAAACTAATTCCAATTTGCAATAGAACTCATAAACATGATGCACTTCAATTTCGCCTGTTTGCAACTGTTTTTACTTTTAAAGCTGCATGAAAAATGTCTCCCACAGCACAAATCACTGAAAAATTTAAATTCTCGTGGATTGTTTCTATGCACTTCTCCGCTTGTTTGAAGAGAGAATATATGCCTTTCGGAAGCATGAAAGATCATTACTCAGTATGTTCACCATTGTTTACCTGGAAGCAAATAGAGCAGCTGCTGAAAAAAACTCCCATTAAACCAAAAATGACTTAGATTATTCCCTTCCATGACATGGATTCACCTCCTACCAACATAACTAAAATTCCATGGCTGCAATGGCCACGACACAAGCAATTCAAGTTCAGCTAATACCCATTGAGTTTGTCCATCTAGCCAATTAAACACAGCTTGACTAGTTAGAAAAAAGAAAGAGCTGAGCACAGAATGGCCAAGGATTGACTCCAAGTGCTTGAGAAAAGAGTGATAATATGGTAAGTTCTATCTAAGGGCCTCATCCCTTCACAACAACCATTTCCAATAGCTCTAAAAAATCAAAGCACATAGATGATTCATCTACAACTCGTTCATCGTTCTTTCGTTTGATCTTTGGCCATTAGAATCAATAGGTTGTTAGAATAATAAACTCTTTACATTGCAAGCTAAAGCCAAAATTTATGCCCTGTTTGGATTACGGACATTTCCCTCTCCTCTCCTTAGAATATCAAAGACTCGAATAGGATGATAAGTGGTCAGACTTAGAAATTTTTTCTTCATTTTCGCATGTAAAGCCCCAAATCCACTCTTCCANCACATCCACTGTTATTTACACATTCTTGTTTGCAATTCTTATTTGAACTACAAGAATAATTGGACAACTAGCAACAAACACAAGGCATAAATGGTGCGGTACAAATTGATGAGTCAAATTCTTACCTGCAAGCATAGGCATGACTGGTAGTTCAAGTGCCTTTGGTGAACCGAGCAGGGTAAGTTTCCCATCATGCTTCAATAGGCTGAGCACCATATCAATAATACCCTCCAACAGCAGCCTACATATATGTTCAACAACCAAAAGGGAGTTACCATACACACTGAAAAATGGTTACCTGCAGCTGAGCTTGATCACTGCTAACTAAAAATGAATCGGGGCCAAGATGTTCAATGGCTTCCTTCTTCTTGGCAGGGGATGTACTAATCACTGTCACCTTAGCCCCAAAAGCCTTAGCAAGCTTCATTGCTACATGGCCTAGCACGCCTAGACCCACCACACTGATATACATACCTGGCTTGTCAAGTCCAAAATTCCTCAGGGGAGAACCAACATCAAGAGGCAGGTTGTCTGGCCAACAAATCACAAAATGCTCTTTGACAACTATGATATCAGAGTATCCTCCATATGTGCGGGTTCCATCAAAGTAGGTAGAATTGTAAGTGAGTATCATTTTGTGACAGCCTTTTCGCATCTGTTGCATGAGTGGCCTGATCCAACCATACCCTGACACCAACTTTGTCTCCAACTTTTACCTTTTGTACCTTGCTACCTACTTCTGTCAGCTCACCCGTTATCTCATGTCTGCATCATTCAAAATTAATTCAGTTGGCACATGTCAGATAGACTCGACTCAGAGTTACTCAACCATCTTTCATTGCACGCGATGAATCCCTAATCTGGCGGCCAAGCAGAAGCTCCTATAGTTTGAGGTAATGCAAAACAATCATAGAAAACCAATGTTGTGATTTATGTGAATGAGTGTGAAAACTAATTCCAATTTGCAATAGAACTCATAAACATGATGCACTTCAATTTCGCCTGTTTGCAACTGTTTTTACTTTTAAAGCTGCATGAAAAATGTCTCCCACAGCACAAATCACTGAAAAATTTAAATTCTCGTGGATTGTTTCTATGCACTTCTCCGCTTGTTTGAAGAGAGAATATATGCCTTTCGGAAGCATGAAAGATCATTACTCAGTATGTTCACCATTGTTTACCTGGAAGCAAATAGAGCAGCTGCTGAAAAAAACTCCCATTAAACCAAAAATGACTTAGATTATTCCCTTCCATGACATGGATTCACCTCCTACCAACATAACTAAAATTCCATGGCTGCAATGGCCACGACACAAGCAATTCAAGTTCAGCTAATACCCATTGAGTTTGTCCATCTAGCCAATTAAACACAGCTTGACTAGTTAGAAAAAAGAAAGAGCTGAGCACAGAATGGCCAAGGATTGACTCCAAGTGCTTGAGAAAAGAGTGATAATATGGTAAGTTCTATCTAAGGGCCTCATCCCTTCACAACAACCATTTCCAATAGCTCTAAAAAATCAAAGCACATAGATGATTCATCTACAACTCGTTCATCGTTCTTTCGTTTGATCTTTGGCCATTAGAATCAATAGGTTGTTAGAATAATAAACTCTTTACATTGCAAGCTAAAGCCAAAATTTATGCCCTGTTTGGATTACGGACATTTCCCTCTCCTCTCCTTAGAATATCAAAGACTCGAATAGGATGGTAAGTGGTCAGACTTAGAAATTTTTTCTTCATTTTCGCATGTAAAGCCCCAAATCCACTCTTCGACATGTGGTTTTCGGGAGACTTACATAGAAAATGGCCTTTGGCCCACCAAAATTTTACCAAACCATGTTAATGTGTTGTTGTTTATATCATAAACTTGTTCAAGAAAATATAAAATCTCTTTTAAAATGTGAGCTAATACATACCCAGGGACGAGAGGGTATTTAGCGGAGCTCCTTTCATTTCTGACTGGGTGAGATCAGTGAATTAGGGCAAAAATGCCCAAATGGCTAAAAATAATCTGATTTTATATAACTGAACTGGTTGGGTGAATCAAAATCGTCCGGTTCAATTAATTTTAGCCAAAAATCACCCGATTTAATGCGTTTTCTTCAGATTTTATGCTTAAATAATTTAAACACTGCATCGGCCCGATTTAGAGTCTGAATCACCAGGTTAACCCATCGGACCGAGCCGATNGTGAATCAAAATCGTCCGGTTCAATTAATTTTAGCCAAAAATCACCCGATTTAATGCGTTTTCTTCAGATTTTATGCTTAAATAATTTAAACACTGCATCGGCCCGATTTAGAGTCTGAATCACCAAGTTAACCCATCGGACCGAGCCGATTAAAACACTTCTCTTCGGTTTTTATATAAAGATTCACTTATTTTCTTTCTTTAAATAAGTGAAGAATTTGAAGATTGACTTTTTTTTTTTTTTTTTTCATTTTTGACAATAAAATGAAAAATATATGGTCTATGTGTTGAGTGTACTGTATGATGAAATTGTATAGTAAAATTCCAGTTTCTCTGGTCAACACTGTTAGATATGATCAAAGAAACAAGAAAAATAGAGAAAAGAAAAAGAAGAAGAAAGAATTGTAACAAGAAANAATATATGGTCTATGTGTTGAGTGTACTGTATGATGAAATTGTATAGTAAAATTCCTGTTTCTCTGGTCAACACTGTTAGATATGATCAAAGAAACAAGAAAAATAGAGAAAAGAAAAAGAAGAAGAAAGAATTGTACCAAGACANGTATGATGAAATTGTATAGTAAAATTCCAGTTTCTCTGGTCAACACTGTTAGATATGATCAAAGAAACAAGAAAAATAGAGAAAAGAAAAAGAAGAAGAAAGAATTGTAACAAGAAACATTGAGTATGTACAACAACATAAAACCAAAGATACATAATAGAGACTCTTATACATTAGGGTATAATAAAATCTACATGTAATACTATATACACGAGACTACTCAACACACTCTAACAAACACCATCCATTCCTTTGCACTTTCTACATCTCTCTCTAAAAAGGTCTTCAATTACAGTGAAATTGGCATTGAAAGTCTTATTCCATTGTCTAAAACTACCCTTTTTTTTTTCTCACACTCTATCTATCATTAAATATTTTTAGTAACAGTGAATTTTCACTGTCTTATNAGTGAAATTGGCATTGAAAGTCTTATTCCATTGTCTAAAACTACCCTTTTTTTTTTTCTCACCCTCTATCTATCATTAAATATTTTTAGTAACAGTGAATTTTCACTGTCTTTTGCCCATTTCATTGCTCAAAGACACTGGAATTCCTATTTTATTGTCCATTTTTTAGTGAATTAGATAATTTAAATTAGAAAGTAAAATGCATGTTTTAATATCCAATTTAGGTGACTAGCAGTGAAATTGGACAGTGAATCTCCCATTTCACTGTTCAAACCGTCTCTTTCATCTAACTCTCTATCTCTCTCTAAAAAGTTTTCAACGACAATGATTTTGGGCAAAAAAAAACAATTTTTTCTCTATAAATTGTCATTACAGTGATTTTTCACTATTATAAATCAATTCTTACTGTCCAATTTAGGTGAAATTCTTATTTCACTGTCACAGTTTGGATAACAAAGTGGCCAAATCGGACATATTTCATTACCGAGAATAGTGAAATATAAAATTGAGCGTATTTCACAATTCAGTTTACTAATATTGAACAAAATGTAATCAATTTAATTGATTAAGCACAATTGATTTTCAATTTAGATTAAATTATCTTCATTATGTTGCTAAATTTAATCATCACTATTAATTAAGCATAATTTATAATTTAATCAATTTTATTTCCAAATGAAGACCAAATATCAATAATTATATTAATTATGTCAATTATATGTTTCTTAAAAAGTGGCAGTGAGATTTGAAAATTAAATGACAATAAATTGAAAATAAAAAATCCCTAATGCAACCTAAACGCACCAAGTAAATTAGCTTGTGCAAGACTCGAACTTGAAAATTTAGGATATTAATTACTAAAGTCTTATAATCGAAATTACCGAAAAAAATCCTCTATTTATTTTATTTGTCAAGTTAGCTGGAATTTATCTATCAATTGACTACCCTTATTACTCCCAATTAGTAGGTCATGGGTCACTTGATTCTTGCCAAGAGCAAAGCATTGATATCTTAAATCACTCTGATTAAGTTTTATTGTGTTCTTATTTGAAGCTTCTTTTAATTATTAAGAGTTTGCTTTTCATTTTGTAATTGATAATATTATATTAGGTCCGTATTAGAGGTATGTTATCTATAATAATAAAACATAGCATCTTTCTTGAGTTGCTTAAGCTTATCACTTAAAAAAANGCAAAGCATTGATATCTTAAATCACTCTGATTAAGTTTTATTGTGTTCTTATTTGAAGCTTCTTTTAATTATTAAGAGTTTGCTTTTCATTTTGTAATTGATAATATTATATTAGGTCCGTATTAGAGATATGTTATCTATAATAATAAAACATAGCATCTTTCTTGAGTTGCTTAAGCTTATCACTTAAAAAAACACAATAACAACTTAAATCGTTTAGATTCGACGGTTTATATTATAATTTAATATTTTAACCTTTTAACCAAAGTAATTTTTTGAATTTTAATTTTTTAATATTTTAACCACTGTAACTCATTTAAATTTTAATCAATTAACCATTGTAACTTAGGTTGTGATTGGTAACCCTTTGTTTTCGTTTTTTTTTCTATTTTTGTTTTCATTTTATGGAAAAAGAAAAAAAAAACATGTTTGGTGAATGTTTTTGGTTTTTTTTAATTACTCTGTTTTTAAAAATAAGGCTAAAATATGGAAACATCTAAAAAGATGTTTTTGAAATCATCAAAAAAAAAAAACGCGCGAGGATTTAATGAGGTTTGGGTTTCGATCCTCCTTAGCCACAAAAGGTGAATTTTTTTGCTCGAGTATAAAAGACCATCTCTCTCTCTCTCGCTCTCGCTCTCTCTCCTTTTCATTCTTTTCTCTCATCTCTCTGCCGCCGCTCCCTCTCCCTCTCGATGCTGAAGACGAAGCCGNAAAAAAAAAAAAAACGCGCGAGGATTTAATGAGGTTTGGATTTCGATCCTCTTTAGCAACAAAAGGTGAATTTTTTTGCTCGAGTATAAAAGGCCATCTCTCTCTCTCTCTCGCTCTCGCTCTCTCTCCTTTTCATTCTTTTCTCTCATCTCTCTGCCGCCTCTCCCTCTCCCTCTCGATGCTGAAGACGAAGTCNCCTTTATCTTTGAAGTACTCATCATCTCCTCTTTTTTTTCTTTGAACTACTACTTTATTATTTTTATTTTTTATTGATTTTTTTACTTCTTTTTTTCTTGCTAATTTTTTAAAATAATTATTAATTTATTATTATATTAATTTTATTTTAACGGGTAAACGTGTGATAAATTGTTTGACATATCTCACCTGAACACAACCCGTTTATTAAACTTGTTTGGTGTGTCAACCCATTTATCACCCAAACCCGCTTAATTTGTGTCGATTCGTATCAGTTAATCGTGTCGTGTCGAATTTTGACAGTCCAAGTGGTGGGTTTCAGGGGGTGTTAAATTTAAGAGGTTACTGGGCATTGGAAAGGGGTTGTGGGGGTGGTTTTTGGTGGTGGTGGGTGTTAGGTGGTTG